CTGCAAACCTAATAGGAAGTGCTGATATAACTCAAATGAGTTGATTGACTGCCATGTAATTTAGCCAGTGTGACTGTAAATATTAGCCTGGATACCTCTCAGACATTTGTAACCTGAAAAATAATCTGGAGAATCTTCAGTACAGTTCTTGGTGGTTGCTCGAGTAGGCTGAATATAAAGTTTCACGCTATGTTATTCTTAACACAGCTCAGAGAGTTTCCTTCTTCTATTTGCTTTTGGATCTACTACCTACTGTGAAGGTTTTGTTGTAAAAGAGGTTGCTTTATGTGAGTAGAAGCGATAATATCCAATGTTTGAGGGTGGTGGTTGTTTTTTTTTTTGAACAGAGGTAGAAGCTTGTTCCAGTTCAGTGTGGTTATCATTGTTCATTTAATGATATGTTTTCTTAATGTAAACCTTAATGGAGAGATCAAAGGCAGTTACGCTTGCTATAACTTTAGAACACAAATCCACAACACCAACCTCTAGTTACAAATGCCAGCATGAAAAAAAAACCCTCGCACTTTCTTCTCCTCAGCATGTGCTTGTCAACACACACATTCTGTACAATGTGATAAGACACTTTTAGTTAACACGTGCATGCAACCAAAATAGATTAAAGGCATGTACTAAAATTTTTAAGACAGTACAGACTAAACAATCAGGAATTTTAAGGCATGTTAGAAACAGGGAGGGAAAGTAATTGTGCTCATTTATTCAGTTTTAAAATGAAACAAAAATTATTACATAGCTTTCTAATTGACAGTCAGAAACTTATCTTTTGAAGTAGTAAGCATACAAAAAAATCGTTAGGAAAATGAGAAAAGCACTCATCTAAGGAATGGGATAGTTTACTAAAAACCAAAAGTACAGTAGATTGCCCCACTGTATTTGTATAATTGCAGTTCCAGCAGTCAGCTGCTCAATAGTATCTTCAAAATCTTTATTGGGGTGTTGCTGCTCTGGCCTGTAAGAATCCAGCCTTTATGCCCTTATCAATGTCTGTGTAATTCCCACTGCGTGGGATGCAAGTTACAGACTCGTAATAGGTGACAAAACTGTCCTGCAGTCTGAGCTGTGCTTTAGCTACCTACATGCAGAGTACGGCAGAGCTGGGTACCTTGCTGGGATCCTGCAACATGCTCTGCTCTCCGTGCAATATGCTAAGCATTCCCACAGCAGTTCGTAGTTGTTCTAAAGAGCGCTGAGGAAACTAGCTCATTTGTGTCCCCAAAGGCTGGCAATTCCTGGTTTGAGTCCTTACTCTTAAAATGAGTTCTGATATACACTAGAAACCTCACAGTTCTGCACTGTCTATTTGTCTAGCCTAGAGAAATCTCTGTTAAACCCTAGGACTGCTGCCAGATGAAAAGGCAAAAAGAAAATTTAAACAAATAGTACGTCAGGATTGCTTTGCACTAACCCCTGGCTTATGCTCTGTCCCTTAAAATGCAATTTTTGTGCTTGTTAAGCAGTAGGTGGAGATTTCTGTTTGCCAAGCTGCTGTTCAGATTCCTAGTAATCATATACAGGTTGTTAAAATTGCCCTTTTCCGCATGCATTTGATATGTAAACTGACTTTTCTTGTATTAAGCTGTGAGGATGGCAGCTGATGCTTCCCAGCTGCTGGGACAGACAAGGCATTTCATGAGAGTTTCCTGAAGAACATTCTGTCCTGTCTCCTGAGCATCCCACACTCTTCTCTCCAGATCAACCTTCCCCCTCAAAAAAAGCGCGATTAGGTGACGTTGCCCAACATCTTATTCCCCTGCTGCTGACCCAGCCTAGACATGACATCAGTACTGGGGTAGGATATGTCAGCTTCCTCAGGGCAAAAGGGACCATGAAGTAGGAGAAACTGAGCTGAATAGTTCTCAGGGGATGAGGGGTGTATTACAAGTCGAATGGAATCTTTTAGAACAGGAAGACTGATATTAGCTGCTTAGATTTTTATCACTTAGAGGCAGCTCATCGCAAGTCAGGGAAGCTAAACCAAGTTTAAGAGATAATAGGAAAGACAGGGCAAAAGCAGACTGAAGCAAGTCCAATTCCTTTAAAAAGGTCCAGTGGAAAGTGATTTGGTCTCAGAAAAATGAGGCCAGCAGCTAATGCAAAATAAAGCAGCACACTGTCATACATGGACAAAAAGCAAATGCAAGAGCTGTTACTTTAGTGCAGCTGATGTGCTTACGAGCCACACCTTAATCTGTCTTTGACATCGCTGCTTTAGATGTACCCATGGGTGGATCTGGCTATGTGTAGCCTAAAGGCCAACAGTCAAGAATAAAAAGTGCAGAACTAGTATCACCACTTGTTTGTTAGGGTTTTTTTTTTTTTTGCCCTGCCTTGAGCGTTAGAGAAAATAGCACAAGGACAGCAACGCTCTTAAGTCCAGGCTTTTAACTCCTGTGCTTAGGGGGCTTTCAAAAGGCCCGTCAAACTGCCTTCAGAACTACTCTGGGCCATCTCAGCAGCATAATCAGAATGAGTACCCGGCCTAATACCTTCCTGCTCTATGCCACTAGAAGGGATGAGGTGGTGTTTTCTTTTCTGTCTCGTTCCTGGGCAGTGAGATGGAGTGTTTTATCGTTTCTCCCCTTTCCCTCCCCATCTTTGCCAGCTGCCATGGGTGAGGGTTGGATTTCAGAGGTCAGACTCGTGCGTTAAGTGAGGCAGCCTGAAACTTCTGTAAGGTAACACTGATTTTTAAAAAGCGAAGCACAAATTGACTGTTTTGGAAGACAGAGGCTTAATTACTATCAGAAGTTGCACAACTATTAAAAAACCACGTTCCAAGTTGCAGTTCAGTCCGGTAAAAGAAGCTACAACAATCATCAGAGATCCTTTCGTGGTACCAACAACTGCCCGCTGTACACCCACCACCAAAACAACAGGGTCAACGGGTCATCGGGGATATTGACTTTCCAGTTAAGGGAACATGAAAAATTCAGAGTCCAGCATCGACCTATACTTCTGGAAAGCAAATAGGCAACTACAGATTCACCTAATGTAGGTAAAATGTAATGAAGGATCACGGATCACTCGGAGAATCTGATGTAAAAAGAGCGCTGAGTTATGCAGCCTCTGTCCACAGGTTTCTGGATATTAGAGCAGTATTTGACTTCATGAGGGGGTAAGAAAGTACAACTCTTGTTCCAACTGAACGTTACCGAGCAAGCAGCTGGGGTTGCAGGGACGTTTTTATTGTTTTGTCTTTCAGACACATAATATGCAAAACGCTAGAAATAACTTAATTACATTTCATTTAAAAGTTGAAAAGATCCACCTGAAGCATAAGTTTAGCCAAGGCCACAAACTCAAGTGAGCTTTAAATACACATAATGTCTTACCATGCCAAAGGATCTCAAGGCTGTTTATAGAGCTACAATACCACTGTTAACTGAATGACAACAAGCAAGTCTTTGGTTTGAGAGGTAACAGCAAAAATATTCCGCGACAAAAACAAGTAGCAGAGACAGTGTCCGGAAATGGAAGAATGAAACAAGGTCAATAAAGAGTACCTAAGGCACCTTGTTTATAGTCATCTTTGCTACACTCCTTAAGACCTCCAAATAATATATAAAACTGCGAATGCGAAGGAATGTGAAGATGAAACAGCTGAGGAGACTGTGAAGATGAAACAGCAGAGGACAAAATACGTTACTCTTATTCCTAGTTAAAATTCCTGTGATCAAAGGATGTGAATAAATACATTTTTCCAAGTGATAATGAAGTAAAGAGAAGAATCAGAGTTAGGAAAACGAATGAAAGGAGGAACCGGTACCATTAAGAGTAAGTTCATTTGATATTCATGAATTACAAGTCAAAATGAAGTAGGAAAGAAGGCTGGACACTGAGATGTGGGTATTTTCTTTAATGTCTAGTGCACTTCTCACTCTCAAGTACTATAGAAGGTGGAAATAGCCCCCTTAACTTAAAAACTAAAAAAAAATCAGAGCGCAGTCTGCACTGGCTTCAGGAATATGCATTGTACAGCAGGAAGTGCAAAACTGTCCTTGCCAAAAAAAAATATGCAAAGGAGAATTTTGAAGAGGGATGGGAATTCAGTTTATTCTGCAATGAATGTTTTTCATCAGCAACTTAGTTGAGACTTTCATCAAAAGCAGCATGTAGTTGACTTGTAATATTAAGCTCCATCTGAGGACAGACCGGTTACGTTTTGTTTTGGCCACTCCTCCGTGCGAAACAATACCAATTTAAAAAAAAAAAAAGAAGGGCAGAGGGAGAATCCCATTGCTTCTTTGCCTCAGTACTAGATGGTTTGTGAGTCCGTTCCCTGTTCTTCTAGTAGGAAACAGAGCTTGTAAGTAAAGCGCTCTCTAACATAACTGGCTTACTACGTGCTTGCTGAATTGGGTGCAAAATGTTCCGTCAGTTTCCAAATGTATGTTCCCTCCTTGCTGCTAGCCCGAGGGAAATTCAGCCCTTTGCCTACTTTCCAAGAGCAAAAAAACCACAACCAAACAAACAACAAAAAAACCAAAGAAAACCCCTCTATCCATCTCAGTCTCTGGCCTTATTTGGATATTAGTTCATTTACACACACCTCTCGACGTTTTGGAACGCCATGAGAGACGGGAAGGAAAAATCGCCGAGACACCTGTAGGTTTCCAAAGGTGTGCAGCAGAGCAGGAACTTGGGTTAGCTGAACACTTCAGGGGACAGAACTCCTTGTACGTCTTTTCACAGAGTTCTGGGAGTATCGAACTAAAGTCTGCAATAGCCAGAAGCCTGGTTACATTTTAATGCTTATCCATTAAAAACTGTACAACAGCATTTAGTGTTCGTGGTGATTGTTACACTTTTGGCATTTTTAGGAAAGCACGTCAAGCTTTAAAGTAGAGTAAGTAGGTAAAGTAAGTGCGACTGTACTGTCTTTCAGAACCTAGATTACACTGAGAATTTGTGCTCACGAAGTACAAAAAAACCCCACAAACGTTTTCCTCACGATCTGCTTTTACCTTGTGTTCTCCCCTCAGGTATGGCCCATTTCGTGTTCCCTCGGAGCTACCTTTGGCTATACGGCTGGGCTGGTTATTGCACCTCTGTGGATACACTGGAACCGGAAGCAGCTTACATACAAAAGCAGATAACTGGAGCAAAGAGAGACAAGGTATTTCTTTGTGCAGATTCCATACAGACTGTGCAAAAGTTGTTTGTTCTTTTTTTTTTTTTTTAAGAGAGAGATATATATGTATAGTCAAAGCAGAAGACTACCCAAATTCATTTAGAGTATTTCAGGCCAAGCATCTCCACTCAGTAAAATCACATAGATGCTGTTTCAGCATGGTGCAGTTTTTGCTTCCTCTAGACTATGGAACCCTGAGAGATTGTACCTTCCAGTCTGAATAAAAACATTTGTACCAGATGTGGTGGCTTCTTATTACAAGTTCGTCAAGTTTGATTTTATTCCTCTGGATTTCACTGGTTGTAGAAGGCAGAATCGTAGTTTTAGCTTCCAAACCTGTAACAAGTTTGCTGTGTACTTAATGCATTGTATTTAAATTCAGTAGAATTTCACAGTAAGCCTGGCCATTGTCAAATGTATCTCACGTGATCAAACAGCAGTTTATGCATCTTGAGCCTATTCTCTTCTTCACTGTGTGTTTCTTTGGAGTTAGAATGGCTATAATAGCTTCATCAAAAACGGTCTTCAGTCCTTTCTGTGTTAAAGCTGAACACTCCACATAGCAGTAGGCTCCTATCTGTCAAGAAAATAAGTGAGTTCAATAGCAACATATTTCAGCTGTTCGGTTCTATCTGTGCACTTCTGCGTTTTTCTTTTCTATGGTGACATCACAACGTTTGGCTGTGATCTAGAAAAGAAGATTTGTCTTTTGGCCCAAGATCTGGAATGTATTTAAGTTGGTTTGGTTTATAAAGGAGGCATATTAAATAAGCTCTTTGGATTGACAGTGGGGTCCTAAGGTATTTTTGGTAATTAAACAGCAAAGAAGAATTACCGAATTACATGACCAATTTATGTTTTAAAAATAAGACTCTCTAACTAAGTGTCCTGGTAAGCACTATCCAGCCCTAGTAAGCATTATCCATGCACTGTGTTAAAACGGTAGTATAGTATTCTCAAGTGATTTCTTGAAGATGCTTCCAACATTTTGTAGGAGGAGAGGTTCCTTCCAACCTCGACCGCTCTGTGATTTTAATTCTCTCTGACTAATGCTTATGTCGTTTTTACAAGTGTCTGCACAGAAAGTCAGAACTAACAGGGAAGTGCTATTACACTGGTCTGCTCGTTAGCTGTATTCGGCAATGTAAGTAAATATTGTTAACTGGTAACCAGTCAAGGTATCATACGTTGACTGGTAAAAGAAATGGGCAAAGTGGTAAAGGAGGAAAAAGTCAGTTGGAAATAGGGGTTTTTTGCTTCTTGGTTTCATTTAGGAGAATCCAGTTTACCTCTTTCGCTAACTTCTGTCCTTGCTCCACTGATACAGGCTTTTCTTTCATATCATTCAGTCTTGCCAGAGTTTTGGGGTCATCACGAAGATCAATCTAGCAAGAAAGATTGCAGTCATGTTGGAATACTTTTTCTAAACAAAAGTCAGCAGGCTACAGCATACCCTCTTTTTAAAGCAGAATTATTTCTTTAATGGAGTATTAAGCGTATAAAAATGGAGTCATGTCATGATTCAGATCGTGGACCCTTCCTGATCCAAAAGCCCTGGAAATTTTTAAGCTGTAAACTACTACCTTTAATCCAGAAGGAACACACATTTATTCTGTAATTCAGCTCTTCAATTAGATGCGATCACGTTGGGAGTATCAGAATGTATATCCAGCAGTGGCAGAAAGATTAACCCAAACATAATACCAACGTGTGGGTCACTTTGTAATTGAAGCCCAGTCCACTGCCCACAAGAAGCAAGAGGAAATTGTCTCTCTTCTCCCCTTGCTCCTTTGCTTCACTAAATATTGGAGATGACCAGAATTGTAGACCCAAGTAATTCCAGTAACATGTATATGAACAGACAATTTTATTCCCTAAGTCCCATGACTTTATATAAAGCCCCATGGAGAGATGCAGCCAATCTTGCCACCCTGTTTCCAATGCATTTATTTTAACAAAACGGAGGTGGCTCATTAGAGAACACCACAGATCTAGGTTTGTCTGCCACTTGTTAAGGTCGTTCCTCCAAAGGCAGAAGAAGGTGCTGCTCAGGTCCTGTCAGGCCTGAACTTCCAGCCCAAAGAAAAGGCACCATACAACGATCTGAATTGCTCAAATAAAGTAGAACAGACCCAGATATACCTGTGTTCCTACTAGTAAAAAGGGAACATTAGGTGCATATTCCTTCAACTCCGGTACCCACTCTTCCTTCACATTTTGAAATGAAGCAGGGTTTACCACTGAGAAGCAGATAAGGAAGACATCGGTCATAGGGTAAGATAAAGGTCTCAGACGATCATAGTCTTCCTGAGAAAGAAAAATTCTGTTATCTGCAATATTAAATTGTTGCTTCTATTTTGTTAATTTTTACAGCGATATTCAGAAACTGTATTGATATTTCAGGAATTTTGTTGAGGCAAGCTTTCTGAATGTTTACAACTATTCCAGGTTAGTGTGGCTGTTGGAGCAAAATCTGCATAGGAAGGTAACGGTATGTGAATGAGTATTTTGAAAAGTGAGTTAATACTGATAGAAACTTACTTCTGTACAAGAATATACAACAGACTACCCTTTAAAAAGTTCCCACTTAAATACAATCGAAGGCTGACAGTTCAAACATACTTCAAACCAGATCAGAGGATAGCGTTTGTTTGACCAAAGGGACATCAGCAGATGTGAGTGCTATAGAGCCATCCAGGTTATACAAAGCTAGGCTAGATTAAGGCTATTTAACGCACTTAAATGTTCTCTTTTGGATCACATGTAGAGGTGATGTTTAAGGCCCTCCTGAGAATTTTCTTTCTGTCTCTTAGAAACCTTACTGTTCTGTTGCTAGTGATCAGGGCAGTCCAAGTAAGGAGCAGAAGGGACCTCTTTTGCCCAGACTCTGCTTTCTGTAAGCAAGCCCAGCAAAGCACAGGAAGGAACAGAAATTAAGGATCAAGAACACTATGAAGGGAAGATTAATGCCCCCTTTGGGGGGAAGTTCGTGTGAAACGATTATTACTATATGGGTCATTTCGAGCCGTACCGTTTAAAGCCACCAGTCCTACTGCCAGGGCACACAATACTGTGGCAACAGAGGTACGTAGGACCATTGTTTCCTGTTGTCAAACAAGAGTTCTCTCTAGCAAGAGAGAAAGTGGATTTTTGCCATACTTTTTAGCTAAGAGCAGAAGGGAACATGCCCTAGCTTCTCTCTGCAAGGCTTCCTTTGGTCTATGGCAGTGCATCCGTGCTTTACCATTCCTACCTTAAGCTGCTTCTTGTTGTTTTTTTTTTAACACAGACAACTAAGACTCAGTCCAGGCGCTGCAGAAACAGTGGAGAGTGTTGGGTTTATGCCTTCTCTTCCACAATAAACACCAGTTTATTATGGCTGCTGCAGCAGCTTCCCTCTTCCCCGTGTAAGCTCCCCATCTTAATTAAATCTCACAAATATTGGAACGATTTGTTCATTAATTGTACAGACAGAAATGTAATTCAATGCCATGTTTGAAATGAGCCAGAAAATTATATTTTCATTTCCTTGGCAACAGTCACATTACCAGATTATTCACCTATAGCTGCACCCTCAAAAAAGCCCTTCATTGATTAATGGTTAAGTTTTAAAGATGGCGTCACTAGAATATCAGAAAAAACCTGAAACCTTCCTCAGAACAGTTTCTGCTCGACCCATCTTTTCATTTGGAAGTCGACAGCTATGGGAAAAGGGCCGTTATCCTCATCATGAAATGGAGAAAAGACAAGCACTGGAGGTGATTCTGCACCAGCAAGGAGGTGACCATTGGCCAGAACTCTTCAGTCTCTGTTTACACAATATTCCTGTTCGTAATCAGAGTTCCCGTGTGCCGTTGGGATGATCCACGCTCCTGCCAGTCTTGTGGGCTCTACAGTTCTGTCAACAAGCCAGAGCGTGCTTAGCTGTAAACATGGGCTCCCAATTTCACAACCTCAGTAACTGACACTACTGGGAAACGACAACACTTGACAGGCCTTTTTGAAGATCGGTCGTTTCCCTGCTGCTGGCAGGCTCCTATCCTGATTCAGAAGGAAAAAAAAAAAACAGTATCCATGTATTTTCCACATCTGTGAACATTCAATCACAGGAAGCAGAAATAACTTTTAAGAACTTCACAACTTTTAAGTACTCAACATTCAATTCTTTTTTTTAAGCATGTATTTCGTGTTTCACTTCTACTACTGAACAGTTAGATCCCGCTCAGGTTGCCACTCTCTCTTTCTGGGGTGGAGATCAAAATACTAAAAGAAGCTTCCCAACTGCAAATTACACTGGTCCCTGGAGTACAAAATCTGCGGGCAAGAACATGCAGGCGGATCTATCAGTTGCTCTCAAATTCAGCTCTACTAAATCATATGTGGGATATTACTGAATAGGTTTTCCCTTTAAAAAAAAAGGAATCTAGTTTAAAGTCATAATTTGTTCCTACTACCAAAGAGCTGCCTTCACTACACTCAACGTTTTCTAAAAAATCTCACGTCTGGGTTACAATACCTAGGAAATACTGTCCGCATTAAATGCTGGAATGGAGAAAACGTTTCACTGTCACCAGAAATTACTGTCAGTCCACTGACATTAAAATACCTCTTTAGCTAACCCATTTCGAATTACAGACGACCCTTTAATTCACAGCAAATACTAATCATTTTCTGATCTCAAAGCCGAGTTACATTTGCACGGTTTACTTCGAAACTTTCACGTTTAGTTTATCCTTTTAAATCCCACGGGATACAAATCCTTGTACGTCTAGCCACATCTTGGAACGGCACCTCACTTCCCATGACGTTCAGCAGCAGCCATCTGGGAGTGAGCAACGTTACCGCTTCCGAAGGTGTGTGCGTTGCTGAACTCCTTTCCTGCCCCTGCCCCCATTTATAGGCCTTTTGATTTATACCCTGTCCCATCCGCGGGGGGCAAGCTGGGGGGCCGTCCTGTGTAATTAAGAAGTTAAACGGAAGGCAAGATGTGATTAGATACATCATGTACCACAGCCAAAGCTGTCCGTGGTATTCACTTAGAGTGACTTCACTGCATTTAGGCTTAAATTATCAGAGAATTTGGCTAGACCCACCAGTCCTGTTCCTTGAACCAAGTAGTGGTCAGGCTTTCCTTTAAACTGTGCCATGAAACTTAGGTCATACTGATACTGGGAACGACAGGGAATTCTAATAAAGCCTCCCACCACAAGACTGGTCCCAGGTCCTCCTAAGAGAGATCCCGGCTTAAATGTTACCAGCATCTAGTTGGCCATCTGTGCTTAAAGACTCCTTCTGCTCCCCAACAGCCCCTCAGAAATAGCAATCAAACCTGGAAACTTGCTCTGATGTATTGGGCCTAAATAACTGCTGTACTTGGGAGAAGAATCTGAAATACCAAATTAATTTAGACTGAATATTAGAGAAGCCTGGAAAAATCTGATTGCTTCCACTGTCATTTATTCCCTGAATCTACTATAAGGGAAATAAATGTGGCTTATTCTAAAATTAAATGCAATGGCAAAATCTAATTATACTTGCCAGTCAACATAAATTCCAATTTGAGTGCATGTACACACCACGCTGTATAGCAATTAGACTTCAATCTAATTGGGAGAGGCACGGCGTGTATATTTAGGCATTAAAACTATTTAAAAAATTTTAACTGGACTGTTTTAAGAGCGTGAATAAGATGGGCAAGAAAGCCACTAAGGATCAAAATATGCAGCACAAGCCTCAAAAAGTCCAGGCTGTAATGGTGAAATGGCTCATTCTCCAGCATACTGTGGACTTTAAAACAAAATTGTTCAGTGTTTGGTGAAGCAGATGAATACAGATAGAAAAACATGCTGAAAATATGAGAGTTGTAATAACTTTAAACGAACTGGACGCAAGTTTGTTGGCTTACTTAACGTTATAACGAGCTATGATCCCTATAAAAGATACAACATTGCAGCAGGACTGTCCATCTCTGTGGTAAGCCAGGACAGCTGCCAATACACAAGAGACATGGGAAAGGAGATGAGATGGAGCAACTCGTGACTTAACTTGGCTTCTCAGCTACAAACTGGGAAGAACTGCTTGGGTTTTTTGTTTCGTTTTTAACAGGGAAGAATGGACATTCATACTTTTAAATTTTTATTTCGCCCTAGTTTTGGTATTCTGCAGGTAATTCTAGCATTGCCTTTATCTCAGCTCCTTAAAATCTCTCCTTTAGATCTCTTTTTTCCCATGTTACAGCACCCAATAATCTGCCTCTCTGAGATTTTCTGCTGCCTTGTACTTGAATACTGAATCACTGATTTTCACTATATTTTGGATGTTCAAATGGATTTGTTTTAACACATCCAAAATTTGGCTGTCTTTTCCTGACATTTATCTACTTAAAAGAGGTCTTGAGGAACTTTTTGTATGGACTGAAGAACGTTATTGCAACTCCGCAGCATTACATTTCAAGGGTTTGCTCAGACTAAAAGCAGAATGCAGTGCATTCAGTACATTAATTTGATGTTGAACCAATACTTTTGCCCAATTCCATGGACATCAGCTGAGAGATACACTTAAAAACACACAAACTGTACTCCTAACTCTGCCACTGACACAATATGTAGCCCTGAGCAAATTATTATCCTCTCTCTACTTGCATCTTCCCAGCCGTAGGGGTTTGCTAGCTTAATAATGCATTAGTCTTTGCACAGCACTCCAAAAGTCTTTGATGTATCTAGCTTGGGATATTTAAAAAAAAAAATAAACTAAGACAAAGTGAAGTCATTTCTGGACAACCTTCCTGACCCACAAAAAGCATTCTTTCCTTGTATTTATTAGTAAGAGGTGCAGGCATATGAGATCCTGTAGTGCTAGAGCCCCTGGGGCTCCCCTGTTTCACGGTATCATGCTCCTCCCGGCCCAAGTTAAAGTGCTGGGGACAGAGGACCTTACCCCTCTCTCAGTAATGGGCGACCACAGGGCTCTTTCTCCTCTGGAATGGTACTGGGGCCTCTCCATCCAGTTTGGAGAGATGAAAGGCAATTGGAGAAGGCACCTCTGCAGTCACTGCCTTTCCACACTTTGACCAAGCCCTTTGGGGAAGTTCGTGGCTCTCGCACCTCTGCTGTTACAGGCAGTGAAGACGATGTTAACCTACGTCTGTTTGTTTGATTTTTTGTTTTCCTGGCAAATATGAGGGCTAGCGTCTTCAGGCAAACAGGAGAAACCAAATTCTGGTATGTCATTAACGTTGTGCAGGGGCCCCGAGCAAGGTGCGTCATGCTTATGGTTTAATCCACTTAGGCACTTTGTACTATGATGGAACTAAAGTAGTTAATGATTTTATGCTTTTTGCAGCTTAGGAATGAAATTTTAACAGTACATCTCCAGCTATATCTTACTGACATACTCTTATAAGCAAAAGGATAAGCCCATTTCTTTTCTATTCTGAGAAGGTATAAAGTGGATGGGAGGGAACAAAATAAAGCTTGCACCACTGGAAGAAAAACTGGAGCTCGACGACTCTAGGTTTGTGATCTCTGTTTTAGCAACCATCTGTTGCTTTCGCAGCTTACAACAGCAACTGTAAGAGTAGGTTCTCACTCACAACCATCTGTTTCTAGAGGGGAAGTCAAAAATAGACACCAGGCAGAGCTGTTAGAGGAATCCAACCTTCATGCAGTGAAGGGTAATCACTGCTGCTGCTCAGAGGGCCTCAGCGAGGCACACATGCAACCAGCTGGTTTCTGCAGAGCAGAATCCCAGCTAAACATCCAAGTTTCAACCCATTTCATCTCTCACTATGAATTGCCATGCTTTAGTTTTTGAAGTGCATTTCAAAGCTGTCCTTCAAGATGGCATTTTTCATAGTTTTCCTTCCTGAAAACAAATTTCAGAAGGCCCCTGTAATCTTTCAGAAAACACTGACTTAGTAACAGCTCATAGTTACCCCAGTGGACACAACCTGCCATCTCCCTCAAGTTTACTTGGAATTAAATCCTCAGCTGATCTGCAGCTTTGCCATAAGCACCAGGCAAAGCCTCCAAAAGCACCTGCCTACTCCAGAAGCACACCAGGAAACAGACTTCACCACCCTGCTGAATCACCCTGTGGTTTCTGAGTCTACGAGACACTTGGGTGGGGGAGGAAAGAGAGGGAAGTGGTCTGGACTACCCCATGCCAAGCGCAAATTGCTTCCCTGGCGAAAAAAACCTCCCCGAGTGTTTTCAGCCTGGGCCGCGTGACACGGTATGTCACCCTGCGCGAGGAAGGAGGCTGCAGCGTCCCCAGGGCGCTGGCTCCCTGGCACTGCCGCTCACAAGGCACCACTAAGGCAGGACCACTCGGCAAGCTGCGGTTTGGGCTGAGGCAGCGTTGCCACAAAACCTCTGCCCGTCCAGTTCTGCAGCCGAAGCCCTGTCACGTTTTGATTTTCCAGTCGCCTGCATCCGTAGCCACCAGCTTCCGAACAGGCAAAACCAAATGTGATTATTCACGGTGATTATTCCCTGGCTGCGGGGGGAAAGAGCACTGCAGACCCTCTGTCTTCACGAGCTCCTGGGGACACAGCTTGCATGGCTCAAGAAAGCAGAATTGTCCCGTTGTGGCTTGCTCGCGCAGGTTTCCCAGGCAGTGCAAAAAGCTGCCAATTTGGGCCCAGCATCTATTTTTAATTTATAGAAAAGGCTGCAAGAATGCAGGGTAAGTGCTCTTCCATTGTATTCTAAAAATGAAGCAAGCTGATCTAAATCCATCTCTGAATTCCTGTGAGGAGGACTGTTCAAAGGAGGTATGAATTATACATTGAAAAAGCCCAGGGTTTGTGAATTACAATTTTACTTCACTTTTGACAAAACTTTCCTTCTGGCATATTTGAGGACGGTGCAGCTGCTTGCACGTCTGAAAAGCTTTTCTGTATAGAGAGAAATAACTAGCTGGAAGATGAAGCCTAGTAAGGTGGACTTTAGAGCATTAGCGACAAGAAGGACAGAATATTCCTTTAATTATGCACAAAATTGCCTTTACGTGATCAAAATTGTTCCCACTCTTAATGTGGGATTAAATACTGTCCGGATCCTATGTCTTGCCATGTGGTGATGCTAAACTACTTTCCTAGACTGTCTCAACAGTCCCTCTTTCTTCTCCATCACCACAGGAACTTCAACTTGCTGGCTTCTTCGTGGTTTTCTAAAAGTGGAAGTCCCTGATACAAGACTTACTATTTTAGCACCTGTAACAACAGAATACGGATTCAACTGACTGCAAGCAGCATCAGCAGGCACAGTTTCACTGAAACACGTTGTATCAGTTGCTTCTCCACTATGGAGCTCCTAAGAAGTGGCAGAGTGACTGCCATGGACAAGCCCTTTCACTCCTTACCCATGAGAAATCACAAGGCTGCGGTGCGTTCCCGTGCCGTTCCTCTCTTACTGTCAGTGGCCTTATGAACAGCTCTCTTCCCACGCAGGATTTCCACTTTCTCCAGGCAAGGAATTCACCCCAGCTTTGGTGACCGCAGCCAAGAACAATCAGGATCTTCCATCCTTTCAGGTATGGGCAATCAAAGGAAAAAAAAATAAAATTCACCCTGGCAGAGGGGATCTGGTCTCTGCGGAACCTGGCCTTTAGAAAGATGGGTTGTGTCACTATTTTTACAGAAGAATATGACCATCAATAAATCTGTTCTTACAGGGAAAACAGACTATGGAATAGAGGTGGTTTAATATAGTTACCCATATCATATCAGACATGTCTTCATTCACTAACTATATAAATCCTGCCCAGACAAGAAAGACTGATCAGTTAGGTGTCGCATTCCCTTTCACTTTTTACAAATAATATACCCCAAAAGCACATTCTTCAGTCCAGTGTTGAGCAACAGCTTTGTAAGATACAAGACTAAGGCTTCACACTGACTCCTCAAGATTCATTTCCATCATGCAACTTCTCAGAAGACAAAAGTGCCGGAGTACCAGGGCCATCACCTGCACATTCAATAAACACATCACGGTGAAAGAGTTTCTGGAATTAAGGGAGTTCCTAAGAGTCTTCTGCACCTCGTTTGATGTCAAGTCCCGATCTGTCAGGGCTGACGGCTTCCACTGAAGAACACGGTAAAACACTCGATGTTTTCACTGCAGCAGAGTTGAAAACCTGCTTACGGCTTTTCTTTCTGAAGGGAGGAACACGTAAGCCACCTCGCTGCCCGTGGCTGGGCTGTCTGTTGGTTGTGGCTGTAGATGCAGCCCAGGTCACGCATGTCCTACATGTAATTGTGGCCTTTAAGGCAGAAAAATAAAAGTGGAAAGCCAAGGAACACAGTTTACCTCAGCTCTGTTCATCCCTTATTGCCTCCGCCACCACATCCCAACTGGAAATCAGACCAACAAGGAACCAGCACGGAGTCCTACAGATGATCTTTTAGCATTCACGGTGACATCTAGTTTAGAGCGCAAGCTGCCTGAGGCACTTTCAATCTCTGTTTTATTCATCTGAAGCAATAAATTGCTCACCTAGGATGCTGATCGATGTTCCTTTGCTCTGGAGAATAATGCTGCCACCTGCATTTATATCCACACACCAGCGAGCGCCAGCCATGGCGAAGAATTATTGCACTCGTGCCCCAGCGCGGGTGCAGCACAGAGCAGGATTAGAGCAGAGCGAGGACGGGGGCCGCGAACGCATCAAAGGGCACAACCTCTTCAGAGCTGCTGAAGGTGTCACGTTGCGTTCAGACACGTTTTTCTTAACACAAATCATCCAGTCACCAATTCCAACGAATAGACCGCCTATAAAACCACGGAAGAGAGCAGTAAAAAGATGCTGTTCCCCTCCTCTCTGCCCTCGTTTTGCATTTTTTCTCATTAGAGGAGGGGCAGTTTTGTCAGAAACGCAACTGCTCACTTGGAGGTTTAAAAAAAAAAAAGTCCCGAAGCTCTGTCCCAAAGCATCCATTTTAGTAATGGTGGGTTTTATAATTCACAATATAACTGCGGGGTTTGGAATCAGTGTGCTTTACGTGATTTCTAAAAGCCCAGGTTCCTGGAGTCTCATGATTATATAAAGAAAAATCACATCCTTTTCACCTTCAAATGAAAGATAGATTTCTAGCACCCCACAGATACAGAGAAAACTTGAATACACGAAGCCCAAAGGCTTAAAGAAAACCCACATCCAGCAAAGGGCAAAAGAAAAAGTCTCAAATCATTTTGATTTCCTACGTTTTTTAGGTAGTGGTGTCTGCGGATAGGAACAGCTGACTCATTTTGAATGCCTGGACTGACAAAACCTTGGTATTGCTGAAGTAAGTTTTACGTCCACTTTTGTCCATGTGTTCTCAATCAAGGAACTGGAACAAAGCTTCCTGAAATCAGCAACCCAGAGCTTCGGATCAGGCCCTGACACACACTGTAAGTCCTTCTGCATCGCAGGTCTGCGCTACGAAGGCAGTACTCTAGTCTAAATTATATTTAATTTAAGATGTTTGGAGGCTGAATCAGGAATCAGGCTATAAATGAAAAATACGCCTTTTTTTATACTTTTCATATTTACCAAAATACAAAGAGCTCTTTGCAAAGGAAACAGATTTCGATCAAGAAGTCTGACTATGGGCCTGCCAAAAATTCCCAGGGTCTCGTATATTCTCTAGCAGAAGAACTGCCAGCTCATGCCACCTTACCCAGTTGTCCCATTCCATCACTCTTGCCTCCTGCAGTACAGCTGTACATTATATGACACTCAAACGAGTGCAGGTGCACACACCATCTTAAAATGAAGTCAGGAAGTAAAAGCACAGGCAATAACAAACACTGTGCTGGAAGAGCAGTAATTATCGCTTGTATTCAGTGGTGCCTTTTTATCTGGATAGCACTGAAAGATGTCATTGTACCTCAAAGAAATAATGAATGATAAAATCCAGAGAGAAGTCTGTCACAAACTAAAAGATATCTACTGACTCTTAACCCAGGAAAAAGGGATTTTTACTTGATCACGTAATCGATATTTAGCAAGAGTCTCTCTAGGTCGTAGTCTTCATAAAAATGTGCTTTTAATATACCAAAAATTGAAGTTTCAGAGAACCTCTCAAACTTGGTTTGCTTTGGATTTTTTTACTTCGCTCTGCCATTAACTTAATTTGGCAAAGACGTTCTGGATCTACATTTTCGAACATTACAATTTGAACATTACATCCCTTACATTTGATTTTAACGTAACTCAGTGCCACTATTCAGAAGTGCTGTGGGGCTCCTGACACTGATAACGAAACGTAACGAGTTTCCAACATATATTTAGTGGATGCTTTTGGGAACTCGGAGCAGCACCTCCCCTCCTGAGACTCCCCACCTGGCGATAATAACACTTACCTATCTTTCTAGGAAAGCTACGACGCTTTCGAAGTGTGAGTCACAGCTCACGACGAGGCGTCTGAAAGTAAGCTTTGCGCTGGGATTATTATTGTTGGAAAGCCATTTCTAAAAGCGAATCTGAAGGTACGAGTCCCCTTCCCTTGAAAGGGAAAGCCTGTCTTTGCTTAACACTTGTCTACAGAACTCTCGACACAGCGACTGTGAGCTCAGGCACTTCACCTCCTTCTTTTGCACGGAAAAACTTAAAAGGGACAATCTAGGCACCTTTTTGTTTTATCTGCACACATCCAGTTGTTGCTGCAGAGCTGTTCAATCTCCGTGGCTGGCAACACCCTGAAGCACAGAGCAGCTTCAGCGGAGGCTGAGCTATTCATAGCCGGCACGCCGGCCGGGAGTGAGCTCATGAGCCCACAGCTTCCCAGCGCCAGCTGCCAGCTCGGCTGGGACGATGCAAAGGGAGCGAGGGAAGATGCCTGTGGGAGGAGGGAGGTGCAGGGGGGAACAGAGAGGGGACAGGATGTCGATTGCTAACGTTTCATTTTTGGATCTGCCAAAATCACGCCGTAGGTTTCGGTGTTTACAGGGAAGGGTGGGAGGCCCTGCGTTGTGCGAGACCCTGCTTCCACGTTGCAGGCTGTGTCTGGCACTACGGCTGCGTGGTGGAGCGACGTGGTCTGAGGAGGGACATTCCTGTTTCACAACGGACCAGCCAAAACGATCAGCAGCTGCCTCTCCTTTCAGGAGGACCCTGGAGTGGTACCTGCTAGACCAGGCCTACCCACCAAAGCCGAGACAACCAACCAGCAAGGGGTACAAAGATTACTGCTATTTCTTGGTTTATTTATAGCAGCCACCGCAAGTTTGGTGACCATCCATTTTAATAACCACACCTCCACCCCTCTCCTTCCCACAGGCACATTCACAGGTATAACCATTTGTTTTGACACCTGGCCTTAACGCAGGCACTGATCTTGCTAATACTGGAGTTAGCTTCACGCACTTCAGCAGCCCGACCAGCTTTAATATCAAATTGCTTTTAACATCAGGGCCTCCGTTACAACAAAAACTCAGTGCATCTGAATGAAGATGGCTGCGGCTGCAGCCAGAGTAGCCATCGGTATCTGAGCTGAGAGGAATCAAGAAGCGGCTTGTTCTGCTCTTGTGCTTAGCATGTTCTGTGGTTACTGTCTTGGTGACAGCTGAGAAGGCACCAAGAGCTTTATTGTATCAGACCCACAGCTTGTCCTACGTGTAATTGTGGCCTTTAAGGCAGAAAAATAAAAGTAGAAAGCCAAGGAACACAGTTTACCTCAGCTCTGTCCAACCAAGCCGTGCTAGTTTCACAACAGTAAGTGATGCTGAGGGATATAAATGTTATTACTAGGCACTGCACCGCAGTAAGTTTCGCTCTGCTCCTTCTGTACCCTGCTCTGCACTGCCCAGATGTGGGCTTGGTGCCAAAGCAGCACCAGAGAGCCATGCTATGCCTCAGCATCTCTCTTCCCGGGGCAGCAGGAGCAGCACAGGCTCTGCTCCTACACCCACACACACACCCACACACCCCACCCTCCCTCCGGGTCACAGAATCACACAGAATCACAGAACGTTAGGGGTTAGAAGGGACCTCGAAAGATCATCCAGTCCAACCCCCCTGCCAGAGCAGGACAACCTGGAGTAGGTCACACAGGAACGCGTCCAGGGGGGTTTTGAATGTCTCCAGAGGAGGAGACTCCACAGCCTCTCTGGGCAGCCTGTTCCTTACTGTCCTTCACAGCACAGACACAGGAGCAGAGCAAGGCTTCCACCTGTTTGTGGTCAGCACATACTGGAGGAGAGGGACACCACGAACGAAAACCCCACAGCAAAAGGGACTGAGAGGAGGATGGGCCCCAAGTGCCATTTGAAGCAGCAGCCTTCAATATGGACTGAAATCCCAAAGAGGTAACTCCTGCGTGTCCTCCTACTTACCATTTGGGACGCAGCAAGGGGACACGCAGCAGACCTCTTCGTTAGTGCTTACAGACATTTCTCCAACGTTTTAACATCCTCAGAGTCGGCAGTATTATTTTGGGTATTATAGAAGATGAAAATGATAATCCCCTGTCACTAGTTCAAAAGCCCTCCAACACAGTGAAGTTAACAGACCCCTGATGAAGCCACGGTTCTCTTCCCAGGCGGATTTTGCCACATATCCCTGCTCAATGAAGAGCAGTACTGACACTCAGTCTGCCCAAGCAAGACAGGCTACTGCAAAGCCAAAGGCATCCAAGCATCAGTATCACAAGCACCTCACGTGTAAACTGCAGCGCATTGATGCTCCCAGCTCAAAGCGACGCAGGTAGGTTCCACAGTTCTCATCTCCCTGGGGAAACCAGGACCCACTCCAAGCCCACCCAGTCTCAGTGCACGGCTGTGTGCAGCAGCAAGGCTAAAAGGAGCTGCTGGCTCCACCTCTGGGAGGAATTGCTGGAGGAATGTCCCCTGGGACCCCACCAGCACTGAATCCACACCTGCCTCCCCGGCGCGGGAGCCGGCCTCCACAGCTGCAAACCCAAATGGTCTCCGAGAGCCTCCACTGCCCAGCAGCTGTACTGGTTATTTTCTGCTGAACCAGGGCCTCAGTATTTTCAGCCACAGAAAAGCCTGCCTGAACTCACCCACACCCAAAGAGGGGAAAGTCTGTCTGCATATAAACTGAAGTTCGTGAACCGCTAGTGGCATTTTTTCCTGCTATATATAACCTGGAAAAAAAAAAAGGATTTTAATAGATTTATTCTCAATCTACTTTAAACTCGCAAAGATATGAGGCATTATGTCATTAGTTACTAGACGTGACACTGTGTGTGTTGTGAAGAAGCGAGCTAGAAATGAGTACTGGATGCCATGAACTCAAAAGCTTGCAAGTCCTCTGCCAAAGAGAAGTCTGTCACAAGTTGCTAAATACATAACCATGGAAGTTAAAGAGATCCACGGGCTGATAAGTCAGTATTTCAGGGCAGTGAGTCTGCTGTGCACCAGCTAGAAATCAAAAGGTCTTTAATCTTTGCTCTGCTATGGGCTTCCTGCATGGATTTGGAGTGGGTCACTGTCTGTACCTCCATTTACACCCTCACTCCTCTCTCCCCCAGAGTGAGATCTGTAGATTGTACCTATGTACTCCGTCCAGAGCTGGGAGTATAAACACGCTGAAGCTTGTGAGCTGCACAGATACCCCAGCGATCACCCACTGCC